GGCCCCTGCCACAGAACAGGCCAGTCCCACAACAGGAGCTACTGTCCCATATATGCAGGAGAGACTAGCTCTGACAAGCAGTGAAGTTCCAGTATTTTACTTTTGCTAAAGAGTTCACTGTTAGTTGTGAATAATTTACAGTATTTCTTTTACTACTCGATGTCTCTCAAAAAAGTCAAGTGGTGAAAAGGCTATAACCTCAGCAAAACATAATAAACAGTCTTGGAAAACAAAGCCAATATGTGTATTGACATACCGCACATACACACATACTCCTGAAAAGCCAAGACCACAAACTATCACTCATCATAGCACCCTCATTATTTTCCTGTGTGTCACTTCAGTGTCATGCTTCAATAACTAGACACTGTCAATTTATTCCATATTGGTAAAGCATTAAACACTGTAAAGCTGTAAGTCCATGATTGGGACTATTTGATATTGTTGAAAGTGAATCAGAAACAATCGCTCATACATCAATCCACAAGACAGTTTAAAGAGGATCACAGAGAAGTTAAAGCTTTCAGTTTAGGTTGCCACTAAAGGAACAAAGCCACGATTCGCTCAGCCTTTGAATTCTCAGACTATAAGCAATCTGGAATGGTTTTGCTTGCCTAATCACACAGAATAGATAAATATTCCATTCATGTAGTCATCTTTACATTTTGGAGGCCTCTTTCACCTTAGACAATATTGGCTTGTTTTCAATAATAAATAGTGCTTATACAACATAGCCTTCCAGTCCTAACATTTAGCGACTTCCTTTGCCAAAACCCCTGGAGTGAATTCAGCCATTAAAGTCTGAGAGCAAAAATCTGTTACGTTATCATACTCGCTTATATGAGGTCCATGACTGCATTTGTTCAGCAATGCAGAACCTCACGTTCACTGGAGCACACACCACTGCAAATCCCACTCTTCAGATCGGAGATAACTCTTTTATACTACTGAAATAAAGATGAGACTCAAATTTGGTGTACTGTCTTTAACTCAGTTGCTCTGAATGAGAGAAGAACACTGTTTAATATTAATTACAAGTAGAATGCTTCCAGCACACCAGGCTCAAGGATCCAGTGTGAAACCACGTTAAGTCACGCTGAGAGAATTTTATCAGGAAGAATAAAACCGATATAAACTTTCTGAACATATTTGTGTTGGTCACTAAATCATAATGTGACTTGAAAAACAAGACTGTTATCCGTCAGTTAAAATTTCAATGAGAATAATCATATATATGCTTAGCATTAGGTACATTTTTAAATCTTTTACTGAACTAGCACCCATGACTACCTTCTTCATACAGAAACAACTGGATTTTGGACAAAGACAGCAGCTTACCTGCAGTGATGTCACCGTGGAAAGATCTTTTAGTTTTCCTTCTTCATCTTTTAAGTTGTACCCCTCTGGTCTCTTATCTCTTTCAGTAATCTTCCATAACTTGATTGTTTTATCTTTAAAAGAAAAGACAAACAACTGTCAGCATAGGAATTATGAATGTGGTTACCCATCTTTCACAACATATTCCTTAAAGAAGTTTCTACACCTTGGTCCTGTGCTGAAGCAGTCTGGGTCACTCCAGAAATTGTTGCCAACAGAAAAAATACTCATAAAGCACATCCCATACCTTCAAACTGAGTCAGAGGTTCCTGGCAGCTGACAGGAAACGTAGAGCTCATGCTGCTCTTGTATCCAACATGGCACTTTGCAGATGGAACAGACCAAAACCGCTCAATGCTTACTGCTGAAGTTCAGTTTGACAATTTGAGTTTGCAAGGCAATAATCTTGCTATTAAAGTTTGCTAGGTTACTTATAAACAGCACAAGAAGAGCATGGAGTAGACAGACAGACCAATGATACCAGCCTGGCCCATTGCGGGAATAGGCAGTGGTGTATTGGTGTAACATCAGGAGCTCCAGCAAATGAAAGGCTCCTAAGGGAAAGCAGCTGAGAAACAACTGAGAAAAAAAACCTGAGAGAATTGTGTTGTAAGAGTAAGAAAGAGAAGGGGGAGAAAAATATATTAATCTTACATGGAATGGAATTAAATCTAAACTCTCCCTTTTTCATGATGGGTGAAGCATATGATGATAGAATTAGGATGCCTCTTGCTTAGTAAAGAGCCTCTGAAGCAAACAACTAGAAGTTTAAACATTTCAGATGGAGTTTGTCCTTGCTTTTGAAGTATCTGAAGCTGCAGATTTCCCTAACATTGATTGTCCACCCAACCTGCCAACCCTAACACTCCCTAGGCTGAAAAATCAATGCCAGCTCTTCTCCTGCAAAAAAATCTGTCCCCGAGCTTCTAACAGTTGTTTCACTCATCTGTTGATGGAGCAGCCAAAGCCTTTCCAAAGCTTCTGCACTTCAGCTGCCACCACAGCTTTCATTAACCTCAGTTCCTGCATATTTTCTGATTTCGTCCCACTTTCTTCCTTTACCCCTCTTTCCCCAAGTACACAGCAGAGCATAATTCTTTCCCCAGTGTGGCTGATCCAAATACTTCTTTCAAATGCTAGTACAACCAATTTTAAAGGCAGGATATATGAATACATGAATCGCTTTGCATTTCTACAGCAACTTTAACCTTGACCTTTTTTTATTTTAGAATCAATCCCTCCGCTACTCTGAGTGTTTCTACTATTATGGATCTCCTAACAATATTGATATGCTAAAATTAGCAAAAAAATATTACAATTGCTCAAACTAAAGAACAAGAGGCTAGTTCAATGTGCAACTAAAAAGCTCTATTTAAATATTCAATATATTTCATTTGAATCAGTCATGTTAATTAATTACTAAAATATATATAGCCCATGTCAGGCACACGGGATTTTTATTACATGTAAATAGTGCATTTCTGCTTATCTATTCCAAAATTTATAAATACAGTAATTGTAAAAGGAATTATAAGAAAAAACAGGAACAAATTTCCATTGTGGGACTTGACTGCTATTGATAAACCTATCTCTTTCCTGCATGAAAACTATTTTATTAGTGAGTAAGGGTATCACATGTGTTGGATTTCTTCTCCTTCATCTGCCTCTGGACTTTAAACACTCCCCAGAAATTCTAAGCATGCTTATATTTTGCAAAACATACAAACATCTCTGTGAGTTTCAGTATTCACTCGGTCTCAAGGGTGTTGTGAAGTTTATATTAATTAATGTCTGGTAAGCAGTCTGAAATCCTCAGATGAAAAGATCTGTATAGGCCAAATTCTGATCTACCCAATGAATCCTAATAATTTATTATTATACTACAAAATCAGTTCGGTTTACAGCGCAAAACAGAAATTTGCTAACTGCAAGCACTGCAAATCCACAGTGGCATTCGAAAGCCTTGGTGGTTTCCTTCTGCCTCCATTAATTAAGACACTGCAATCAAAACTTAGCTGATGACTTGTTGGTAACGCGTGAAGTGGTAAGGAACCAAGACATCCTCTGAGAGAGGTGATCTGTGCAGAAACAGCCTCAGACAAAAGTCCTCCTTAGAAGGACAGAAGCAGGTTTGGGCAGGTGCAGACCTGTCAAGTCTCATCTATCAAGGGTGAGATTTAGATGGACTCTCCCCCCATGTTCCCTAACAGAGGGATGTTCCTTACAGCAAATTCAATGGTCACTGTCCACCTATGTCTGCAGAAAGAAAGGATGCTGTTTCACAGTTCTCATTTTTCTGATCAAAACTGTGTTTTAGTTCCTGAAGAGAGCAAAACATCAAAAACTGCATTAAAATATCAGGCTCAGAAAATAGTAAATATAAGCCAGTGCTCAAGATGTTTCTACAACCTGCCCAATACGAGCATGTGTGATGAGTAATGCCTTCATTCTCTATAAGTTAGGGAAAATACTATTATCCCTTTTTATAGGCATGGAATGGATATACATTCTCAATGACTTCTCACAGGTAATCTGTGAGACAGCAAGGAATTCGACATGGGCCTTCTGTATCCTAAAGTTAAAACTAGTCCTTTAAGAGTTTGCCAGGAGGCAAATCTTCAGACTTGAACTCTGATGTGCCAGGAAGCTAGGAATCCTCCTTGGCATGCAGAAATGTTTCGTAATTCAAAGCCAAAATCCAAAGGCTATGCCAGTGGCACTACTTCTGTTCTCCTCACCATAAAGCGGTCTGCTGGGATGCTCCAGAACTGAGAAGGGAGAAAAACAGAGGCCAAAGTATTTTGCCAGGTGCTAGGCTTGCTCAGCGTTGGCTGCAACTGGCTTAACCCATAGCAGCACTAAGACTGATTACTTCTTCCTTTCTCCCCTCCCATATCAACCAGAAAACCGATACAAAGTTCTACTAGGCCAAGTGTAAAAGCAGCGTATCTGAGGACTCAGCTGTATTCTTCAGTGCTTCCAAAAACAGACTTGAAAATGCAAAGAGAGAGGTTTACTCTTAAAAATCTGCTTTTGTACCATGCACTTGGAAGAAGCCATTCTTATTTAAAGTTATCTGAAGTAGAAGCGACGTTTTGACCACGGAAGAAGTGCAGAAGTGAACTCCCAAACTTCTAATTAGCTGACTAATCATTAAATTAGCATAAATCACCTAGCTATAACAGATATGTTTCTTTTCAAATATTGCGACAGTGCCCCCAAAAAGTCAAAACACAACTTTAAGGAAAACAGACTACAAAACATAAAATAATTTGCTATCTACTGTGAATTAATGTAAGTATTATTTATTGCTATAAATTTTAACTAGAAGTAATTACTTTGCCCTAAAGCATCAATTCCCAAAGGTGAGATTACGCTATTTTTCTATCAGCAATTCCCAATTATGCTCAAACTTCTACAAGAAAAATTCTTTTCTGATAACAATGAGATCTAAGACTTAAAATCAGATATTTTTGTCTCATGCATCACCAGCAGTAAAAGAGGTTGTGGCTGTCCAAACATTTCCTAACTGACACCTGTGCCTGTTAGGCTCCAGTCAGTTTCTTTCCCCTATGTCACATCTGCATGTCCCCTCTTAGCAATAATACTGCTTTTCTTTTAATCAACAGGCCTTAAGCATGTTAGAAAGATGAGTCAGTATCAATATCCTATTATTATTTCTACTGCCTTCCAAAGATTTGTGTAACTCTTTAGAACTTAAATAAATCATTCTGACAGTAATGAATGAAAAGAAAATTAAATTCACCCCTCTTACCTACATTCTTTTATGCATCTACAAAACAATAAAACTTATGACAAATACAGAAAACAAAATTCTAAATCCCCAGTGAAACACAGCTGCTGAGTAAGGTGATGCCTTTGTCACAAAATTTATTTCAGGATAGCACGGCATGTTATTTGCAATGGATAGGTCTTTAAATGTCTGTGGACAGTCATCAGGAAAAACCCTGTGACTATGGATAAAATACATAAATAACAGATATCCAAGTCAGTATGACAGTCTTGGTAAACTCTGAAAGAGGAAATTACTCAAACAGTAGCTTAAAACGAACAAATACATACAGTCAGCACTAAAATGCACAAAAGGAAAATGCTGATATGTCCTATATACTCTCATCTATCTTACCATTTGTTGATAAAAGTGAGTGAGCTGCATTTTGCTGTGGTAACCACTTGATCTTGTTTATTTTTTCTTCTATCTCCAAGCTCTTCAAATAATCAAATTCAGGTTCATGGCTCTGGAAAGTGCTGTAAACATTGTACTCCCCCTGATTGTAAGGCTCATTTTTACTCTATGGAGAATAAGAACAACAAAACCATGTGGTTTATGATAGCAATATATTTCTATCTCTTGGGAAAGGTGTATAAGCAGCCTTAGAAATATAAAAATATTGAAAATTTAATTTAATTTCTCATTTAAAACATGATATTGGCAGATTTGGTTCTACAGGAATGAAATTTCCTGTAAGTATTGAAGCAATGTTTAATAAAAGGTAGAATTTTAGAAGAAATGTCAATTACTCAGGAAAGCTTTCTACAAAAGATACTGCAGATGGACTGAATTTAAAAGTGAAACATAGAGGTATCACAGCGAAGCCACTGTTTTAAATTGAATGTTTCCATCAAACCTGCAAAAGCTATTAAAACAATGCAGAAGTAAAACAAAAACTTTTTTTTTTTTTTTTTTTTCCTAGCTTAGAATTTTGGAGTTTTGAACACTTTTGTTTGGGACATCAAACTTCCAAGTAAAAGATCCTTACCCTCTTTCACTTCCTCTCCAAAGAGATGGCACTCTTGTTTTACTGAATCTTGAGATTATAAGCAAGTTTGTTAGTTAGATCCAATTAACGTATTAAAAATAAGGCCAGGTTTTAGCAAGCTATTGAGGACTACAGTGGTAACTCACATACCTCAGGTTCCCTTTGGAATATAACAACCCGACCCCCCTTGTCACCAGTAGCCAGCAGTTCTCCAGTGTGGTTGAACTCAACTGTAGAAATAATATCAGCTGGAGGGAAAAAGAGAAAAAAATGCGAATTTTAGACTGCTACTACAACATAAAGCCATTAGAAATATCAAGCACTCCACAAAAAAATGCAACAAATAAAGGATCTGAAGGAATACAGATGAACTCAACAGCAAGTCACCAATGCAAACAGGCTGCATGCCATTACAATCTGAGGTTGCTACACAATGAAACAAGTGCAAACATAACAAGGCAAATTTATGTTTCCAGCACATCTGCAGTTTGAGAGTGGAGGAGATCTCCGGAGAGGTTCTGCTTCAAGAAGAGCAATCTCAGGCTGCTACAAAGCTTTTTTCAGTACTGGAGATAGGAACACTATTGGCCTCCTGCTATTTTCTCCAGCAAAGACCAATATAACATCTCAGTCCTGTTGCATGTATTATTTATTCTTCACCCTTTATGAGGGTTTTAATATAACCCCCTAGCACTATTTTTCTCAAATATATGTTTGCGCCAAGAGTGCAAAAGCAAAGTGCAGGTAGCCTGTCCTGCCACAGAGGAATGAAGGCAAAACCAGAACTGCTCACTGTGCAATGCCAGCAAGAGCTCATTCAAATCACCCTTTTTGGTAAATCATTTCAGCACCATAAAAATGTGTCATCAGAAGATAAAAAGATCCCAGTCTCTTCTTTTTCTAATTTTCAACAACTCCCTTTCCCTAAGCAATTGCATCAGCTTAAATGAGAAACCTCATCAAAACCTGAGGCCAGTCTTGTGTACAAATTACTGTACATCAGGATGAGAACGGAGGAAGACTGTAGGAGCAAAATAACTGGTTCTTCTGTTTGTATGACAGTAAATGCTAGAATCATAATCCACAGTTAATCCTACACTATTAGCATAATTTAAATTAAAATGCCTAGCGCAATAGTAAATTAAGAAGCCATCATATATACAATCACAGACAAATGCAGGGTATTACTCAGAGATTGCATGTATGAATCCTCTATAATGATCAGTATTCACTCATCAGAAACATGGGCCAGATTTTTAGAAGCATCAGTAGTTAGCAGCTCCCCTTTAGGCATAAAAAGCTGCGGTTTTCAAACACGTTCATCATCCATCAGTTTATACTGAGAACAATGAGGTGACAGTGGGATAAGCTCTTTTGAAAACCTAGCCCCAAATGAGTTCACTAAAATTCAAAGGAATTGAAATAACAAGTGGATGTACCATTTACTTGATACATTCTATGAATTGAAAACATCTGCTCCTATTATTCTTTTAATAAACTATCAGTTGAGTGTTAGAAAGCTTCTATTGCCAGTAGCTCTCACCAGCAACACAGCTATCTAAAAGCCAGATTCTTACATTCTAAAGAGTTCACCATCTAGAAAAAGGAAAACTTTACCCTAATCATGGTAAAGAAAAATATCATGGTTTTGGTTTTGTTTTAAGAAATCTTGATCATCAAATTGTTTCATCTAAAAAAACCAACAAACCCACCCTTCCTCTCTTTTCCCTCCATGCACTACATATATAAAAGAGTAAGGGGGAATCATAAAGGATGTATGTCATTTTCTTTTTTGCTGAATAAAATGTATGGACTTGTAGACTTTGAGAAAAATGGAACACGATGACTTACAATATTTTGGGTCTGAACCCAAAGCTTCTCAAAGTTAATGGCATTTTATTTTTATGAGGACTTCCACAGACTGTGTATTTTATATGTAATAACTCAAAAAGCCCTAATCTTCTAAGAACTCAGGAAGAGTAAAGAGACCCTGCTTATGGTTGGTGATACTCTGGGGCTTGGGACGGTTGAGTTTGATCTCCAAAATGTCATTTTTTAAATCTAAAAATGTAATCAACTTTTCTGACATGTAAAGTTCATTTGTAGTGCTTCCAGTTGAAGAACATTTCTTGGCTTTTTTGTTGTTATCCTGCAAAATTCATAGTGATGGTAGATGTGGGCTCCTGCATATAAAATGATACCTGCATGATTTTACTCATTTAAAGCTGTATCCTACCCCAACCATACAGGCAAAACTGCAGAAGTCTTATACTGACAGTCCTTTTAGAATAGAGTCTCCTATCTTAAGCGTGCAATGGGGGAGAAGGGTAAATGCAGAGGGGAGGAATGTAATATCTAATCAATATGTGTGTGTGTATGCATGCGCATGGGTAATGTATATGTGATTTTCTCAACAGGTCAGAAAAGAATCAGATAATATAACTGTGCAAAAGGAATGAACAGCATCTGAACTTACATGTGTGAACACACTTGCTATTGGCCTGGAATACTTCCACGATGGTATGAAATACTCTTCTCTATGGTCACAATGGTCACAAAATACTGTATTGCATTTTACAGATGGCATCAGGTAATGCCCAGTAAAGTCCACAGGAGTATTTGCACAGACTTCAATAGTAACTGAACCAGGGTTATAACAAAACAGCTCTGCATTTTGTTAGTATATTCCATTTGTCATTAAAATATTGTGTGCAGTTAAGTGATTACTGTTTAAAGCAAAGCAGCTAAAACCTCAAGTATCTGTGGGCAGTGTGTTAAGTATCTGTGGGCAGTGTGTAATGATGTTGTTCTGAGGCAAAATTCTCTCCCTTGCAAGCTGTTTCTTCCAGATGCATCCCTCCTTTCTGGTAGAAAAACTAATTCTGAACTGGAAACTACCTATCATTTTTAAATTAACTTGTTCTGAAAAAGAGCAGATCCAGTATTCCAACCTTAGAGGCTATGCAGCTTGTTGGTAAAAAATTACCCTTGAATTGGAAAATCACTTTTATTGATCCTGTAAATAACAGCTGAAAACAACAGCAAAAAAAAAAAAAAAATCCCTACCAGGTGAAAGCAGGCAAACATTAGTCATGCTGTTTTTATAAAAAAGATTAGCCAGGCTGGCTCTTCCTAAGACAGAGGAGGTAGGAATAGAATCAATCAACAAAGCTCTTCATACCGTTCTGCAGAACATTCCCCTACACATTTATTAACGCTGGTAGCAACATCAGCCACCATGGTTCCATCCTGCAGATTCTTCCATTGGAGAATGGCGCCCTGAGCGTACAGAGCAATTAACTACCAGATTTCACCCTCTCCAGGATACAGAAATGCTCCACAATGGAAGAGCTGATGAATTTGCATGTACAGTAAGCCCTTGGCAAGGGATGGCAGAGATGAAAGACTCCTTCCAGCCCTCTTCTGCACGACACCTTCCATATCTCTACTGGCAGCACCAAGCTTTGCACTAACAATTAGGATTATCAGAGACAGAGATAATTTACCTTTTAAGAACAATTACGGGTAACCTCAATGCCAAAAGGCAAATGTTTCCAATCAGACTGCAAGTCCTAACTTTTATCCAATATTCATCTTCTCACTCCATTTTCGAACTCCCCATTTTGTCTATGCAGAAATGTATATAAACTTGGATTTAAAAGTTACGATGCTCAACAGTTTCATTCAAAGAGCACAACCTGGACACTCAAAATACAGATGCTGACTGAGAAAAGCAAACCAAAAACCTTCAAAAGATTAAAATACTCCAGGGGGGTAAACACCTGGCCATCTGTTCCACATCCTGCCACAGCAAACTGTTCCAGCAGGTACAATGCATTGCAGAATTCATTCCCCAGGCTACGTTTACATATTCACAGAAAGGCATCACATTACTCCATAGCTTAAACTGACAGGAAGTTTTTCCTGATCCAAGCTGAAGTATTTCATTCCTTGACTCTTAGTCACCTCTGCCCTTTTGTACCTCATTAACTAATTCCTCTGCAGCTTCATAATTTACACTCTTTAAATATGCTTAATTACTATGTTGTACCCAACAGCTGCTGCTTAGCTAGTTGTATTCCGCTTTTCTAATAGATCTAAGTCTATTAATGTACATCTGTGCACATCAAGATATCTCCAGCTGACTGTACTGCTCTTCACTCAACTTCATTGAGTATTGTTCCAGCATGGATGCAGGCAAATGAACCCTCCAGCAGCCCTCCCTCAGGCTCACTGTGGGGTGGAATGAAACAAAGGTTGGTATACGTAGCCCAAATTAATTCTAGACTTTATTTCATACCATCACATACATTTCAGTGTCCACTTTCTAGCCTCTTAGAGGTTTATTTTAAGGATTTTAATAGCTTATTCCTCTATACAACACAAACAGGTCCAAATACTGTCACAATAACTAGAAAAGCTTTACCTATATAACAAATCTTTGCATCATTTTGGGGCACTCTAGCATAATTGGATGCCATTTTCCACTTAGTATGCACTCAGTGAAGCAAAATCTGAACATACTCATCTTCATACAATCTTTTGGTCAGAAACCTCAAGCAACCCTAAGAAAAGCTCAACTATTACTTTTATTAATAACTTTTACCTTTCATTTGAAGGCCCTGGCATGCTTTATTTTGCTTCAGAAATCAGGAAAGCAAAGAAAATTTCAAAAGTATTTCACACAGCACAGAAATGCAGTTTTTTGGACAGCAGTAGCTAGTTTTGAGGGCAAACATCACACAATGGTACAGGGAAAAGAAAATCAAAGAATATAATATTCTGTTGAATTACAGTGTAATTCTGATAGAGAATTAAAGGATTTGGAACAGGCCAGAACACTGTAATTAACATCAGTTCTTTTCTCAAAAAATGCTGTGAAATCCTACCAGTCAGAACAGGTCAGAACTTCTCCTTTATATCACATCATCCACAAGCAGCACAGCAACACCGTCGGCCTGAGCTGACTGAATCAGCAGCTAGGTCAGGTTTTTGGTGAGCGTGTTCCCAGTGGCTAGCAGGCAATCTTGTAGTCTACATTATTTCAACCAAGTTCTGACCTGGCCTAACCTTGGTTTGTGAAATCCAATAAGATCACAGCACAATCTGGCATGTCTGCAAGCAACATTCAGTCATACTGATACAAAAGTCCCCGAGGAGCATAATCTGGAAGAAACAACAAAGAAGCTTGCAACAAAGAGAGCCATAAAACAAAAGGACAAATGGTAGATAAAAGAGGATCAGTATT